ACCACACGGGCAGCAAATCAGGAGGCAGAGGAGACTACGTGGCGAGGCGGGAGCGGCTCGGCCGCGTCCAATAACGTAGTGTCCTTCAGCTTGCATTTTGCGACCCGGCCACCCGTGCCCCCCTCCCCCCACTCGCGCCCACTTCCTCGCTGCTTAACTTCGTCTACACGGACGCGAAACTAGTCCCCCTCTCCCTCTCTCTCTCTCGTGCGACGCATCTGCCAGTCCCCTCGAACGCACCCGTCTAATCGCTAGACACGAACCGTGTAGTAGAGGCCCGCCCCGGCGGCTCAGCGGACAGTTCTCGGCAGGCCAGGTTCGCGTGCAGATCACCACCAGTCACTCCACCTCGACATGTCCCTCAGCATGGAGCGCTTCGCGGGCCGCGTGGCCGTGGTGACGGGCGCCAGCAGCGGCATCGGCGCGCAGATCGCCGAGGACCTGGTGCGCGCCGGGATGGTGGTGGTGGGCGTGGCGCGCCGCGTGGACCGACTCCAGGCGCAGGCCGCCTCGCTGTCCGGGCTCCGCGGCCGCCTCGAGCCGCTGCAGGCCGACCTCTCCAGCACGGACGAGCTGTGCCGCGTCTTCAAGTGGGTGGACGACAACCTGGGCGGCATCTCCGTCCTGGTTAACAACGCCGCCATCATGCCTCTTGTGGCCATCCCAGGTACAGTGCACGCCGTATGACTTTCCCGGGGGGTGCAGGCAACAACTGCCAGCGTCCTGGGAGAGATGATGTTGACTTTGTGTCTGCCGATGCAGATTTCGACCCAGCAGAGTCCGAGAAGCTTGTCTTCACCAACGTCTCGGCTGTGATGATAGGCTGCACTCTGGGTATTGCGAGCATGAAGAGGAACGGTATCAAGGACGGACACATAATCAACATGAACAGGTGAGGGCGGACGTGGCTGCGCGTACAATAGTGTTTTTCAGAGCTGGACGGGAAGAAGTAAAATGGAAGAACAAACGGCGTACTGCTCATGCGCAGACGTGGAGTGGGGGAAGCAGGGGATGGAATGGGGGGTGTCTGTCTATGCTCATGCGCAGTGCGCCTTTTGTTTTTCTGTTTTACTTCTTCACGTCCAGCGTTAGCTGTAGCAAATAATCAAATTCGGGTCTGGGTGGGCTATGGGCTTAGCGGGGCAGCGTCGAACTCTGGTACAGTGGGGCGTTGTTTTGGTTCCTGATCATCTTGTCGGTCGTGCCGTGTGGGATTGCTTATCAAGCCGCCCTTTGCAGCACTGCTGGCCACCGCATCCTCGCGTCCCCCGGTCTCGGGTCCGCCGTCGCGTACTGCGCCAGCAAGCACGCCACGGTGGCGCTCACCCAGGGACTCCGCGCCGACCTGCAGGCGCTCAAGGCGAGCGGCTTCAGGATCCGCGTCACGGTAAGGGAGCGGCGCTCGACGGAGTCCCCTGTGCAGCCGTGTACTCCGGGCAATGCTCGCCTCCGATGACTCCCGCTCATTGCGTTGTTCTCAGAGCCTCAGCCCGGGCGCCGTCCAGACCGAGATGCTGCCCGAGGGGTACCGCAAGTCGCTGCCGGATGCCGACATGGCACTGAGGGTCAAAGACGTGTCCACCGCCGCCCTCTACGTCCTCGGCTCACCACCCGCGGTTGAGGTACCAGGCCGCCGCACCCCGCCATTTTGGCAACTTTGAGCTTTCCTGTCCTCCGACTGTCCCATACGAATCCGGTTGTGATGTGTTTCAGATCACTGAGCTGACCATCCAGGCCACTGGAGAGTTCATCTAAGCGCGGACAGGTGCGGAAACCTGCGAACATGCGAACTCTGCCGTCTGCGACGACCACCCGAATCTCGCCGTCAACTCTGCAAAAATGTTTTGAATATCACCTGTGTTATACAGAAAAGCTGCTTACAATAAAAACCTTTCAAACACAAAAAATGGTTCTTTGAAGATGAACAGGAACGCCAACAAGCGCCAACAAATATGAGTAGCGCAATATGGTGCCAATTTTGTGATGTGCACAGCGGGCGCGGGACTTTTTGAACTGTCTTTTCGTCAAAAGGGAAATTATCACCGAAAATTACTCATGGCATAACCCCCTTCCCCAGTATTCCCAGGTGTTGCGCTCGCGCACCCACCTGCGCAAATTATTGGTAAATACCCGAAGATTTGCGCAATTAAATCGTCTCGTGAAGTCTCAATTGAAATATTATAAACAGAATGCATTACTATAATTTTTATCATCTGCTTCCATGATCCGTTCCGAGACAGAATTTTTCATTCGTTGACTTACGATATATGAACCACTGGGGCACCTCGGGTCACGCATTGACCTCAGAAAAGCAGGATCCCAATAAACACGAATACTCACTTTAAGTCATTTGATTTATACCCCCTTGTAGGGAAGTACAGGACGCCTAGCAAATTCGTACCCCCTCCCCCCCACACACACACTCACCCTCGCACTCACCGTAGTTTTCATATCTCTCATATTCATATCTTATCGCTAATGTTCCGCGCAACGCGCCATAGGGACCTCAGCCGCCCCGACCAGGTGTTCTGTACCCCCTGTGGCGAGGGGGTGAAAATCTCATGGCAGCCTGCCCCCCCCCCTCCTCCCTGTACCTAGGGCCCCCGACTCCCTGTACCCTTCTTGGGGAAGGGGCGCTCGGTTGCCTCTTGCTGTGTCAGCACGACTGAAACCAACAGCATACTGCCAGTTCCCCTATACCAAGGGGATACAAATCAAATGACTAAAAATGTGAGTTATTCGTATTCGTGCTTAGTGGGGTCCCGCTGTTCTCGGGTCAATGCGTGCCCCAGTGGTTCATGTGTGTCGTAAGTCAGCAAAAAAGATGTGCACATCACAACATTGCACCAGATTGCTCTACTTCGAGGGGGCAAGAACTCCGGGAATCATGTGTACACCTGCCTGGGAATCATCAGGATGAAAATTAATCGAAATCAACATAAAAGGCTTAAACTAAGCGGGAAACTAGTGAAACTGGAACATTAGTAGAAATAGGCGTTTTCTACCCCTGGCGAATAGACGGTTCCCGCTCTGCACGGTTCGAGAAGAAGTAAGGAAATCAGGACCGGAACCAGTACGAAAAGTGCGCTTATTTTTCGTATTTAACTGCACAGTTTCACTTAGATGACCTCGAGAAAGTCCATCATGTAACTATAAAGGTTCATTTGCACTAGTTTTTACCGTAATTTCAGAACTGTTTCCGGTGACGATTTCCTTCTTGAAATGGGCACAGCGGGAACCGTCTATTGTACTACTAGGGCGTCGACAGGGGGGTCCCAGCCGATGGTACCCCTCTCTGGCAAGGGGGTACTGATGGCCGCGGCCGGCCCATTGGGGGGGGGGGGGGGGTACACATGCCCCAGGCGATTTGTACCCCCCCTCCTTATTGGGAGGGAGGTACACCGATGCCCGCGGTGATTTGTACCCGGGGGTATGCGGGTACAAATCGCCTGCTACACCGTTACAGCACGCTTCGCACACTGAAAGGCAGGCAGGCGCTCATTTCCATCGACCAAGTACTCTCACGGCTGTGCCGGTGAAACGTCCTGACATTTACATCTTCTTGACGGACTCCTCTCTATACAGCTACACCATAGCCAGGCGCCGGCAGCGCAGCCCCCTCCACCTTCCTCACGCCCAACTGGGGCGGGTGTTGGGAGGGTGCGTGTACAAGGGGGAGGCAGAGGCAGAGGCGAGGTGAGGCCAAAGTGTGCGATGGCTTGCTCGTCTAATGGCCACCATTTTAGGCGTGCGTCACATCAGCAGTGCACGCCCGCCCCACCCTACCACGGCTCTCCTCCAAGTCACCTCTACTGCCGAGCGCTGCGATCTTCCCCCCAACCCTCCTCTCCCACAATCAAAATGTAGTTAAAATTAGTGTAAATTGTAATAGAAAACAAAAATAACATCGGAAACACAAATCAGTGTTTTATTTGTTACCCGACAGACTCTCGCCATTCCAACAATCAAACCATACTCCTCCCAATTTCCACTCCTCCACTTTTCACCCACAAAAACAAATTTAAAAATCCCCCGACCCGCTTTGTCCGTTTGTGCGATGGAGGAGAATAACGAACGGTGCATGTTACGTCTTGGAGATTGAATATCAGAGATCTAACGAGAGACAGATATTCTCAAGCGGCGAACGTTTTCTCCCTTTGCGTGCTCTCTCTCTCTCTCTCGGCTTGTTGGTCGGCGCGAGGACGTCAACCTCACGTGTGCCGTGTTTGACCGCCCTTGTTACTCCGGGACGCCCTCGTGTGTGAGAGAGTGAGTGTGTGTGTGGTTGTGCCAGTGTGTGTGTGCGCGCGCGCGTCTCGTCCAGGCGAGTCAACCTGCCTGTCTGTCTACTTGTCAATGAAGCCGGCCTCCTGGTCCCCGCCCCGTCCCTCGCTCCACCTGAGTGCTTCCATGACACAGCCGAGCGGGCCGCTGGCACCGGGCGGGGCCCGCGCGGCTTCCACTCCGAGCTCTCTGCTTTTGCGCTCTCTCTCTCTCTCTCTCTCTCTCTCTCTCTCTCTCTCTCTCTCTTGTCTCTCTCTCCTGCACAGACGACTCCTGACGACGAAACGTATGCATGTGTGCGTGAGACTGTTCTATTCCCATAAGCGTGAACATTGAACGGCCTCCTGCTCGTCCCTCCCCCTCCGCTAACGAAACCTGCTGCTTGAGGAAAGCGGGTGACATGGGTGGGAGCAAGCGAGTGGGATAACTACGATAGGAGGAGAGGGGAGGGGGACAATCAACATCTCCTCCATCGTCGCGTCCTCAGTCCAAAATTAATCCCCCATCATCAACACCCTCGCAGCCGCGGCGGCGCTCTCGGCCCTCCCGTCACCCGCCTCCATCATCGTCCCGTCCTCCCTCAGAGGCCGCCGCCAGCGCTGCCGCCGCCGCCACTGCAGTTCGCGGGGCTCTTAATTAAGTCGGACAAAGCGCCAAGGACGGTCGGTCGGACGGGAGGCAAGCGCGCGCCTCGGGGCCGACGCCCTCCGGCAGAAAAAGGCGAAAGGAAGGCGGGGGAGGGGGTCATAGGCAGGCGGGGAGGGAAGGGGAGCGACTCGTTAGCCTGCCCGCGCCCAACGAATGACAAAATGTTTGCTCTCGCTTTAAGGCCCTGCCCCCCCCCCCTCTCCCCCGAGCAAGCGCGCCCGCGAGGGTCAAGTTGACGCTTACACCCTTCCGTCGTCCGCCGCGCAGCCACCGCCGAGGGGGACGAAAGGGCGTCTTTTCATAGGAAACGAGTGGTGCGCACGAGGGGCATGGCATACTAGCTACACGAACGGGGTCGTAAAAAAACCTAATAGACCGCATCGATAAATTTTGAACCTACGAATCAACCAAGCGAAACTGACTTTGGGAAAACTACCAGACAATAGTTGGATTCGTGTTTATGTCATCGTGACAGTAAAAATTGGGTAGTAAGATGTTATTGTTCTGATTGATGCAAAGCAGGAAGGTTGTACACAAAGGCGATTGTACAAATAACATACATAAGGATCATAGAAAATTGAAAAACGATGTCTCATTTAAGGAAAAGGGGAAAACTTTAAAGGAACACCCATATTATAGGAAAACTCCGATCTCGCCCTCGCCTCGGATTTCGAGGAATCTTCTCAAAAAAGGACAATGCCACATTTTGGGGGGAAGACTTCTTATCGAAATCTGAAGAAATTTCCCGAAACTAAGGAAGTCTCTCAAAGTTTTCCTTTTCCCCTTGAAAAAGAGACAACGTTTTTACCGTGGAGAGGATGGGTAATGGAGCAGTGGGGCAGGGTTAGAGAGGCAGCCACGGGGAAGTGCACAGCATGCACCTGGGAGCGCCCGGTTGGTGCAGTAACGGGGTGCATTATGTACAATGGTACGGCGGACACAGGACAACGCTCAGACATGCAAAACAAAAGCAGGGAACAAGCTATTTCCGCCGCGCAGCGCACTGAGCACCGCTCGTTACTGCAAGCGACCCGCCACGACCGCCTGCAAGCAGCGGTGCCATATCCAATATACGCTCTCCTAAAATAGTCATTGCTTTGTCTCATCGTTTCAAGTATAACATTAATTATGTGCCCGCACTATTTCAGCACGTTCATTTTTCCTCTTATCCGTTCGGCAAATTACGGGAGCGTATGCCGCCTGCGATACTCGGGGTAGGCAACTCCGCAATACACGCATGCACTGCAGGCAAGATGTTGCCTACCTAGCAGGCGCTCTGAGAGCGTTCTGGAAAAAAACAAAATGATAGTGATAATTTCAACCTTTAAAAGACACACAATGTTATGTCTTTTAAAAATGCGTTTTTTTAGTATGCCTGTAGAGTGTCCTTACAGAGGCACTAAACAGAAAATTTGACTAGCACCCCTGGAGAGGCACGACATAGCACCTTTGTTTTTCCAGTGTTGCATTGGCTGAACTGAGTTTCGTATGGCGAATGGCGGGCGAAATTTCTGAATGATCCCTAACGAAGCTATACCTGCTAAGTGCCGGACAAGCGTTATTACCTTCGACTTTTTCTGTTTTGCTGTTTGTTTGTTTGTTTTTTGTTTTTTTGTTTTTTGTTTTTTTGTATTCTTGGTTTTGTTTGGGAGAATGTTTGCGTGGCTCCGGCCGCAGTTATGACGGCGGATCCGACCGCACTGCTCGACGACACGACCCAAAGCCAAAGCCACGGCTAGACGTCTGGCGAGCAGGGCGTGCCACCCACCTGCAGCGCACAGCGGCACACTGCACGAGGTGTTCCAGTACAATCTTTGGGTACTTGATTTACCTGAGTGACTGCGGGCGCTTGTCCCAGCATTCTTCTCAAAACAAGCTCAACCTACTCAAGAGAATAAAATACACAAAAATTTGCTAATACTAGAACACGTGTTTTATAAGTGTGGTGCGAATCCAATACCAAAGTGCAAGAAGGTAGAAAAAAATATATATGCATGACCCAACGTGAGCAGCTCTTTTGTTTACACACTGCTGTTTTGAAGATAAAGGCCCTTGCATGAGTGCCTATGCTGGCTAACCGCTTGAGTTCGAATCGGTTCGGATCGATCTGGTTCAGTTCGCCACAAGCATCGGCCAACAAAATTGTCATTTAAGGGGTCAGACGGACGTCTCTTATGACGACATGCTGAACATCCACTCCGCTTCTCTCGGCCCATCTCTCGCGGGCTCTCATGCGCTTCCGGCGTGTCGTCTCACTCTGCGAGACTCTGAAGGAGAACGTGGAGAAGGATCCCAGTCATTACGAGACGGAGCTTACAGCGGAAATTGCTCGCGTAGGGCAAGAGGCGACGGACCGAAGCAGCAAGACGGGGATGGGGAAGAGGAAGACGGGGATGAAGAAGAAGAAGAAGAAGAAGAAGAAGAAGAAGAAGAAGAAGAAGAAGAAGAAGAAGAAGAAGAAGAAGAAGAAACCCTGCCGGCGCGCCGACATCTGCTGGCATCTGCGTAACCTCTTAAATTTTTAATTGTTTCATCAGAACGAGTCTCGGGGGGTGAGAGAGCAAATTTCAAGGCGTCGTCGTTTTTAGAGGAATAACAAAGCAGATATCCGGCCAGGTGGCAGATGGTGCGAAAGTGCGATATGGATCTTCAGCCGCGCCAGAATCACACAGAATTCTTATCAACACTCTATTCGTCTCTTTTGGCGCAGAGAGGTAGGTAGTGTACAGTCACAGGGTGTCGAGCGGTGACCTAATATTAAATTCAAGGGTTTTTCCCGGGTTTTCCCAGGGCAAAATAGTCAAAATTCAAGGGTTTTGAAAGACTTTTTGGAAACAAAAAATTGCTCATAGGGGTTACTTTTCTTAACAAAAGTCAGAAAATTATATCACTAAAAGTGTTCGTCCATCTACAGAGCAGGAATGGAAACAAAAAAGGTGAGACGTGCGCAGAGAGTTGAAACACGGAGATCAACTGCTCAGTGACGAGGACTGTGCGCACTTTTTCCCGGGTTTTGAGCAAAATTCAAGGGTTTTTCCCGGGTTTTTCCCGAACGAATTAATTCAAGGGTTTTTCCCGGGTTTTCAAGGATTCCAGGGTCGCTCGACACCCTGAGTCAGAGCAATGTGGCGCCGAGGCACACGCTGTTTACCTGTTACGATTTCTCTGAAAACCACTTTAAGAGAGTCCCCAAGACTGTCTCTTCTAGAAGGAAAAATTCCCAGCAGGGCGCTTTGCATGAGGGTTAGGTTTGTGGTTGGTTTGTTACAACTCCATTGAAATACTTTTTCTGTGGCACAAAAACTGTTTCAGTTTAAGGCCCCCTTTTAGTCCCTCTGATACGTTCTGGAGTTGAAGGGTTTTGGAGGGATTTTGAAAAGAGACGATAATGAGAAGAGCTGCCCGCTGTGCTCTGATCCGCGTCCTGGTGATGGCTGGAGTATAATTCCTGACCGCTAATTATTTTACCGATGCCGGTCGGGTGGATGGACTCTGTTAGGATCGAGTTGCCGGAGCAGCGCCGGCAGGGGGAAGGGGAGAGAGAGTGGAAAGCAGCGGAGTGGAGTCAGTGGCGAGCGAGAGGCTATAGTAGCGGGATGCCAGGTGCCAGGTATGGTGGCGAGCGGTGGTGGGAGGAGAAAGAAGACGAATGAAAAGGGGAAGAATGAGGCAAAGAGTTAACGAGGAGTGCGGGGAGGGGGATTGGCCCGAGCGCCACGTAATACCGTGAGACGCGACGGGAAGAGGCCGGAGGGGGACTGGTGGCCAGCCCTTTAGTGAGGCTGGCTCGGCCCCCTGGGCCCCTGCTCGGCTCGAGTCACCCCGAACCGCAATCAATCCTGTTTCTTCCATTATTATTATTCCACTTCAAACTACGGGGCCGACTTTATGCCTATCAACTACTTCAGTGATGAGGGAATCTCCAATTCTGGAGCAGATACGACGGTGGCGGCGGAGAGCTGGCGGCCACCCGTGCGACGGCCAGCCTAGAGACCTTGCCCTTCCTCCCCGGCCCATAGAACCTCTAAGCTCCCGCAAAAGTCATTCGGAAAACCTTTCACAGAGGGGAACTGATCCGAACGGAGGTCACGCCCTCCGCTCAATAGACTTTACGACCCCTGCTCGCCCTGCTCCAGCCAGCGGGCTCACATCTGCCTTCCGCGTGAAGCGTGGTATCGGCAATTCCACACGTCACTAGTCAAGCAGCATCGTGTGTTCTAAACGAAGACCGACGAAGACCGCAGTGGCAATGTTTTATTGACAGGCTGTAAGCAAATTTAATGAGAGACTCTGCGCCTCTGTGCTGTACCGAAATTTTTCAGCTTTAGGCTATCACTAAAGAGTTAAAATCTAAATTAGGCACCAAATGGAAAAAAAGGGGTAGAAAATTAATAATTTCAAAAATTTCAATGGCATCTCTCCTTGAACAAGACAAAAATAATCCCGCAGAGAGAAACATTTGGTTCAAAAAGTCCAACTCACCTTGCCGAAGCTGCCCTTTCCAATCGCCCGCAGGATCTGGAAATGGTCGAAGTTGACTGCAACAGAAAAAGGGGAGGAAAGGTGAAAATCTATGCGTCTGCAGAGGCAGAGAAGAAAACCAAGGGCGAGGACGCGGATGCTTGCTCTGTCACGAATACGTGTCTCAGACTTTTTTTAAAGTGATATAGAAAGAATGCTCTGTCTTGTCACGTCCATCCCCCTTTGCTGGGCATATCATTGAAAATAGATGAAGACAGCGAGGTAGAGCGAGGCGTGGCGGTTCTCGTGGAAGTAGCGCCCAAGTGGCTGGCCGGCCTCCGCACTGCCCTCCCCTTTTTCTGTCTCCGAAAAGTCAGGTGGCCATGCAATTACCATGAGGAAGCACGGAACTCAGAGGACAGGAAGGAGGGGACGACTGGCGAGTCACGTGACACTTCCCAAACTGAACACAAAGAAAATGGAATGCAATCGTCGCTGCCGTGACAATATTCGTTGTTAATTAATTGAGTAAATATAACAAAGCAGCAACATTTAATTTGTTATAGGAAGCAAAGCAGCTTGAAAAGCGTTACAATTTAATAACAAAAACATATCAGACACCATTACAGACAAATATTCTTTCTGCGCCGTTAAGAAGTCCGAGATGATAAAAAGTCTCAGCGAGAGCGAAACTACCGAAGCCTGATCCTTGCGGAATCGGGACAGTGTACCTGAGGCCCACAATGGTAAGGGCTTAGGGCTGGGCTCGCCAAGGCGCCGCGGTCAGACCGTGCTGGACGCCAACTTGGACCCGACCGTACCGGACCGGACACGGCGGAGGGGTCGGAGGTCAGACCAGCTCCGCGTCCTGTCCTTCTGTCAGGGCCGCGTTCGAGCTGCTCACCCAAAGCAAGGCGCCGTTGAAGGGGGGCCCCTCGTTCCAAAGAAATGGAGCAGTTGTTCGAACGCAGCCAACGGCAGCGGATGAAAAGATGGAGAAGGAGAAGACGAGTCGACGTGGGCCGCGCGGGGACGGGCTCGGAAGGGGGCGCGGGGCTCGGCGGGGGCGGGACCACTGCCCTCTGTGAAAGGGGATTCCAGACCCGCCACTGTCAGCCAGAACCGACCAAGCGTAATAGCACGGCATGAGTGCTGCTCGAGCAGAGCAGCGCAGACCGCCTCGCGACAGGAACGGGTCCGAGACGACTACA